CTACTTGGGAGGCTGAGGCAGGAGACTCGCTTGAGCCCAGGAGTTGGAGGTTGCTGTGAGCGTGATGCCATGGCACTCTACCCAGGAGGACAGCTTGAGGCTCCGTCTCAAAAAAAAAAAAAAAAATTGGCATCCAAGGGGTGCCCTGGAACCAATCCCCCGAGAACACTGAGGCACGACTACAATACACTTATTTAAATATAGTGTGGTGGACGTGTGTGTATATATAATATACACATATATAATATTGTACATGAACAGTATATACAATAAATATATAACATATGTAATAAATAAATATACTTAAAACATTTCAAAATAAAAGACAGGTGAGCAGGTAGGCAAGTGGCACCCAGGCTCTAACCTGCATCAGGTCCCGCCTCTCCTTCTCGCCTGTACAAATGGCTTTCTTGATGGTCCGGAGCTCTGTCATGATAGCCTGCGCCTCATCCAGTTTGTAGCTGGTGTGAGCACTCGACATCTTCCGATCAATCCTAGTTTGAACACAAAAATAAGAGTCATTCCATATGCAATCACAGCATTCCACTAAATATCAATAATAAAAACTCAAAAGCTGGGAGGCGCTTGTGGCTCAGTGAGTAAGGCGCCGGCCCCATATACCGAGGGTGGCGGGTTCAAACCCAGCCCCGGCCAAACTGCAACAAAAAATAGCCGGGCGTTGTGGTGGGCGCCTGTAGTCCCAGCTACTTGGGAGGCTGAGGCAGAAGAATCACCTAAGCCCAGGAGTTGGAGGTTGCTGGAGCGACTCCACTGCACTCTACCGAGGGCGAAAAAGTGAGACTCTGTCTCTATCAAAAAACAAAACAAAACAAAACAAACTCAAAAGCTTCCCAGAAAGGTAGAAAACAGCTAAAAACAATGTTCTGGCAAAGAAAAATAAAGACCTCATGAAAGCTTCCTTCCTTGTAGTAAGTATGACTCTTCCTGCTCCAGGAGCATCCTGGGCAGGTGAGGACATCTGAGTTGTGATGCTAGTGTCCTCTACCGCCAGTTAGGCAATGAGATGGTGGCCTTGAATAATTTCCTGAAATTGTACACTCCCCTCTCAGAAAAGAGGACCATGTCTTATTATCCCCAGCATCCAGCTTTGTGGTCAAATGTTGATTAAATAAACACAAGAATGAGATCTGTGTGCAAGAATGAGATCTGAGAAATGGCAGTAAGCAGTGAGCTTTCAATAATGGTGCCTTGTGCAAAAGTTGGAAACTCTCATGTCCCCTCCCTGTCTCTCCCTCCCGCCAATCCCTGTGCACACCAGGTCTGGCTCTGGGTGGTGGAAGCAGAACACAGAACAAGACAAGTCTTGGCTCTGCCTTCAAAGAGCAGGCAGCCCCCAGAGCATGTCCTTTGTCACGTCTTCCATACCTAAGTCTTGAGCATTGGAAGCCCTCAGGGATAAGGAGCTTGGGAAACTTTTGTGCAGTAATGGAATGAATTTTTTTCTCTCAAAAACAACTAGCTTGCTTTTCCAGCTCCAGGTCCACCAGCACTGGCTTTTCCCCTACATTATCCTGAATACACAGATCACTAACTGCCAGCCCAAACTCCCTTGTTTTCCACTCACAGAAACTTCTGGTGTGCTCGTAAGTGCAAGTGGCACCCAGCTCTGCCATTCACTGGCTGTGGGATCCCGGGCGAGTCAGTTCACCTCTTTCTACCCGTTTCCTCATATCTCAAATGAGGACATTGAAAATACTTCTCCCTGGCTCGGTGCCTGTGGGTCAAGTGGCTAAAGCGCCAGCCATGTACACCCAAGGTGGCGGGTTCGAATCCAGCCCAGCCCCGCCAAACAACAATGATGGCTGCACCAAAAAATAGCCAGGTGTTATGGCGGGCGTCTGTGGTCTACTTGGGAGGCTGAGGCAGGAGACTCGCTTCAGCCCAGGAGTTGGAGGTTGCTGTGAGCTGAGATGCCATGGGACTCTACCCAGGGGGACAGCTTGAGGCTCTGTCTCAAAAAAAAAAAAAAAAAAATATATATATATATATGTGTGTGTGTGTGTGTGTGTGTATACTTCTCCCATGAGATTTTACAAGAAAATGCAAAAAAGGGGCTCACTAAGCAGGAGGCCTGGCATGCAGTATTTGTGGTTGTTATAATTATCAGGATAACATGGAATCTACTTAGGGAAGAAAAAGTAAATAATTTGCCAACTCTAGTACTTCATTATCATTAACAAATTCCTTGCTGAATATGTCACAACTCACAGCAAAACTCAGCACCAGAATTGACCTGAGCTGTCAGCATCCTTGGAATAGGAGGGCACACAGCACAAGCAGGAAACTATTCCTCCCCTTTAGAATAGGACTCTCAGGCGCAGTAATATTGCTGGGATTGCCATCAGCTACCTATGAAATATTTATGAAAACTGGTCCTGAGTCCTGTCCTGTGAAGCAGATGGAGGCACACAGTGGAAGCCTACATGTTGAATGGCGACACCTCTAAATCCCAATGGGGCCTGACCTCACAGGCATTTCCATAATATTAGGCTAGGTTACAGACACGCAGGTTTCTCAAACACACACTGCCTAGTCTGCTCTTATAACGCAGAATATTTCTTTATACATTTTTACAAAAAGGCACATGTATTTTTAACTATACAATGTTCCATGCATAAAGTTAAAATGAGTGAGCATGAACTAACGTCTGGTTGTGGGCATGGTTTTTTCTTTTTTCTCTGCTCTCATTAAGCCCCTTTCTTCACAAAACAGTATACCCTCGTGATGTGGTGGTAGGCTTTAACTCTATCACCTGACAGTCCTCACGAGATTCAGCAAGAAAATATAAAAAGTCCCTAGCACAGTGCCAGCAAGCCACCTGGCTACTAAAACATGGGAGTGAATAGCAAGGATAGTAGCAGTAGGCCCATAAACCTCTTCTACATATTCGGAATTCTTTTGTCTGTCATTCAAAACCAGCTCCATTTCCACCAAAAGGGCTAGGGTTCTCTCTCCCTGCAGGAATCTCACCCCCTTTATACAAGTTAAGCGCCTTAATCACCAGTGGTCTATTTTGTACTTTCTCACCTGTCTCAGCGTCACAATAAATTAATCAGCATAATTCACTGAAATGTTGCCTGGCAGGTGCTGTGTGGCTGAATGGTGGGATGGAAAGAGAATGGGAACCGGACTTTTGGAGACAGAACTGGGGTTCCAAATCCAACTGATGACCAGAACAAATACAGGCTCCTGGGTTCCTGCTGAAGGTAAATGTCTGCAGGTGGAACTAAGAGATTACTGATCCATCAGCCAGCTCCCAGAACCACCAAGTTGAAGGAGCCTCTTTTTACACTAATTATTATTCACTGAGGGAATATTACATAATAATTATAATTAAACTGAAGTCGATGGTCTCAACATACTTATAAACCCCCACTGAATTGACAGACAAAGCAGTTTATAATAGAAAACTGTTTTGGCATGAAATGACTGGAGGAAAAAGCAGCGCCAGAAACAGAGACAAAATTTTTCCGCTCCATCTCTAGTTCAGGAGCTCAGGCTGGGGGTGAGGTCTCTTGTAGAGATCTCAGAAGCACCACCATACATGATGTAGAAAAACAAAAAATAGAAGGAAAGTCCATGTGTTTTTCCATCTTAAATGCTGTGTGGAGAACCAAGAATCTCTTAACACAAGCAGAAATAAAAACAGCCATACATCTCAAAGTACTAACCCTGCCAACAAGGTGGCTAAACTTTTCTTGCAGAGAAATCTAGACACATTGACGTAATAATGTCTCTTTGCATTCCTCTTCTGATAAAAGGCATTCTTATACATCTTTTTTAATGTCATAAACCACAATCCACCTAGCCTGATAAAGTCAGCAGAAAGGGGTTATAGCAATTGCAGACAAAAACTCTTGCATCAGAAAAGTCTCACTGCTCTGTAACAGTCACACCAGCGTCTCTGCTAGCCTCACAATGAGAACACAGCAAGTCAGTCATCACCTGACACTGTCCCCAACAGAGAAATGAAACTCGGCTACACTGATGCAGTTTTTTTCCAAGTGCCTGGAAATGAATGCTAATCAAATATTCATAGAAGTATAGACACATGCAAATTGTTTTTTTTTTTTTTTGAGACAGAGCCTCAAACTGTCCCCCTGGGTAGAGTGCTGTGGCATCACAGCTCACAGCAACCTCCAACTCCTGGGCTCAAGCAAGTCTCCTGCCTCAGCCTCCCAAGCAGCTGGGACCACAGGTGCTTGCCACAATGCCCAGCTATTTTTTGGCTGCAGCCATCATTGTTGTCTGGCGGGCCGGGCTGGATTCGAACTCGCCACCTTAGGTGTATGTGGCTGGTGCCTTAGCCACTTGAGCCACAGGCGCCGTACCAACACATGCAAATTGTTAAAGGCTGCAATGCGAAAAGGGTTAACCATGTCTGTTGCAGTTTTATACTTAAATGTTGTGATTTCCATATGGCGTGTGGCAGCTATAAAGCCTAAGTGGAGCCATCCGTAAACCCAGGAATTGAGTGAGCAGCTTCTCAAGGCTCCAGGTTTGATGATGGGAACAGCTGCCACCCCAAGGAAAATAGGCTCTAGCTCCCATCCAGGAGAGGGCCATCAGCACCTGCAATTCATTCCACCAGTGGACACTGCAGAGTGCTGCAGAGAACAAGGCTAGGGACCTGGGTTCTGGCCTTGGCATTCCTAAAGTGGCTCTGAGATCTCAAAAAAGAATGAAGAAAATGGGATTAGAGAAGCTATGGTGGCCCTGTTCCATGAGTACCCTGCGGTGGCCAGCTGCTAGCTACAAGAGGAGCCCATGGGGGCTTAAAGCCCTTTATCCCTGCCTCAGCAGCAGCTCTCTGTGCTCTGCCTCAGATATTCCAGTTCCACATAAGGGACCGTGCGCAGGGAAGGAAAGGGAAAAGATTTTACTATTACAAGGTGTGAGAGCCACTAGATAACCAGACCTCAAAGCCAGGAATCTTTGAAATATTATTTTTAAATAGTTGTACATGATAGGAAATATTACTATATAAATGTATTATTGGCCGGGTGCAGTGGCTCGCGCCTGTAATCCCAGTACTTGGGAGGCTGAGGCAAGAAAATCACTTAAGTCCAAGAGTTAGGGGTTGCTGTGAGCCACAGCACTCTACCAAGGGTGACAAAGGGAGACTCTGTCTCAATAAAATAAATAGATAAAATGTATTATTATATACATTAATACATTATAGCATATTTGATTATATAATTATGTAAGTATACAAATACTTTCTAAAAATAGTGTAGTATATTAAGCACTTATTGAGTGATAGGGTCTTGCTACATGCTTTAAACTTGTCGTCTCATTTAACCCTCCAGTGGCCTTAGATATGAGCGTAATCTTTTTGGATTTTATCACGAAGAAGTTGAATTTCAGAGTGATTAACTAAAGTGTCCCAGATGACAAGCAAGTATCCGGCAGAGCCAGGATTCAAACCCACATGCTGACTCCAAAGCCTGCACAGGATCATGGGGTGTGGTGG